ATATATATATTATATATATATATATATATATATATATATATATATATATATTGGAACACCTCTGGTACTTAACCGTCAACATAAGTGAAAACATTGGATTCCACTTCACATACACTTTACGCGGTATTTTTGGAATCATCCCATCAACAGCGTATTGGATAACCCCGAGCATAGTTCGCTCCGCTTGCACAACAACCCAGGTTTTCTAAGGTGCATGTTAAGGGAGGGACGCGAGTGGAGCAGTGGTCGGAGGTGCCCTGCAACACTCATGGGATCGATCGATCCACACGCTCAAGGCTCACAAAGCCTTCCATCCCTCCGGACTCGGCAAATTGGTACGACTTGTTTGGGAGGATAGCAGCACTGGCTCGATACATCGGCAGGCCACCGCATGTGGTTGTAAGGACCAGATATCCATTCAATCACCTGCAGAGATTCCTGATGAAGTCGAATGCATGGTGTATCCCTCAGAGTTTGACGAACGTCGAGAGCTTTATGCTTTTCCTATGTTAATGGAATCGCAAAACTAGGCATGGAGCCAAGTGTTCGTCGCTGTTCGCTTTCTGTTCGTTTGTGTTCCTCAAGCCGTTTGTTCTTCTTGTTCAGTTAAGGATGCTTGTCGTTCATCATGTAGGTTTTTTAAACCATTTGAACAGAGCTGAAGCAACTGAAAAAAGTTGTTTCATTGAGCCCGAGTGAGTCACCAAATAGAAATCGTTTTCAATAACAGTATTCTCTGGAGTCTAACTACGACCCGCTTTTCGATATGTGTTGTTGAAGTCGTTCGGTATTCGTTGCGTTAGCTAATACTTCATCTTTTCGAATAAGGTTATCAGCAAAGCAAAGAATGCTAGTTGTCCACTATTACTTCTGTGTTTCCAGTTTTCCTATGTCGTTCGCGAAATTGGCGTTTACTCGAAACCCTTCTTTACGTGAAGGGTGAAGTCGTTTCAAAGCGGTGAAATCTCAGTTTTTCAAGTTGTAGTCAGGTTGATGAAACGTCTTTGTATATTAAATACTGAAACTAGTGCTACACAAAATTTCTACGAGCGATTCTTTCTCATCTAAATTTAGAACCTTTAGGACGACAAAAGTCGGACACTTTGTAAAATTTCTTTGGGTTTCCTTATGGTGTTTATGCGGTCACCCGTACTGAGCACTTTTCGAAAAGCTCTCTTACATGGTTGCCCTTCGTACGATGTATGTGTCCCGTTAATAAGGACTCAGAAAACCCCGTGGATAACAGAAAGTGGGCATATTCCGCGGTGGTTAAGGACAGAACGATCATGCTGGTTTTTCACTGTCAGGTAGCTTGCATTTTGCTAGTGTGGAAAACTGGGCTACTGTATTTGTCAGATGACAAGCCTCTTCTACCTGGGAAGCTGAGATGATATATGAGAGAGAACCGTTAGGATCACACATTCATTTCAGAAGGTAACCTGGGTTTTGAGGAGATTCGAGTGGTGGACAATCTTCTCAGTGATCAGGTTGAAATAGGTGTTTAGTCGAGGCATAAGATACATTAGCAGCTCTTCCGTATTTCCTTACCGAATGCTGTTGTGTCAAGATTCTTTCGGTGTCAAGGAAATTTCTGGTAATAAATGCTCATCATCTACGTTGATAATCCGGAACACACAACGAACTTATCCATTCGATGCGATGCCTGGCCACCTTTTATATGGTTCGTACCCAATTGGTTACATTTATAGAATTAACGTACAGAACACAGTCTGCATACCCACCAGCACAACCACGAAAAGAACTCGCTAGTAAATTTCGCGATTAGGACTGGGATCAACTGAGGACCTCTTAAATGAGGGTTGTCCGTGGACTAGCTAGAGAGTTAATAGTTCGATGGCTCCTGAACAGTTATTATCGTCCTATCGTTTCCACCACCCACTATTTGATGCAAGGCTAAACCTTTACTACTAACTTCATGAAGAAGTTTCGAAACTCAGTCGATTCGCAAGCTGACAAGTATTTAAATCAAGATGCTACTGCGAACTTCACGACGGATTCTCACAGGTCTTCCACAAAACCTGCACGTCCGAGTTCCTATGTCGCGAAATTCTCATTGGAGCGCGTTTATTTTACCCGAAAATGGAGTTTTCCACTCCATCAAAGCCCACTAGTTATGAGCCAAACGGAGTTTCCCTTCGATCTATTACACACCGAAATCATCAACTATGCGAAGGAGAGTGAAGAACGTCGGAATGCTGCGAAACGAGACTGGGAAAAGGTATTCTGTTTCTTTTCCTCAAACTTTGAGCATTCAAATGTGTCCTTTTTCATTGTTTCTCATTTCATTTCTAGACCAGTCATTTACTGTTTTCCTTTATAAGGAGTTTAGTACCTTGTTTAACCTTGATTCGCTTAATGTTGCCTAATTTTAAGGTCTGTGTTATACTTTAAATGCTCTCGAACCACTAGATATGTTCCTAGTGATTTATTTTGAGGAATGACGGTTCTAGTGGATACTCGTGAAAAATTGAGATATTCAAAAAGGATTACAATTGACTAAATGGTTAAAGAAAAGCATGTCAGATAGCCGACACGTGTGTTGATTCAACGGAGCTCGACAAGTACAACTCGTTGATTCAATTGGCATTTGCTCACGTATGTTCTTATTGCAGACATCGAGAGTGTCGTTCAAAATAATAGTATTTATTTTTTATGTGTTCATTATTTCCAGAACTCCTACGTGACGCAGTTAGAATCGATGGGTTATCGCGTAGGATACGTGATGGTCGAGTATGTTTCCAAAGAAGCCCCAAAATTTCTGACTGAGCTTGAGGTTAGCATTTTTCATTGTGTTTGATCTATTTGCTTAGTTACTACCTACTTGAATACTTGGACGTCACGTCCTTACTGGTTGTGCGGGCCGCAGTATACTTTCCAATTCTCGGAGTTTTTATGGTTTAGCCATCATGTTTCTCTGGAGAATCTCTGGAATTTCCCTAAGATCAGCCTGCCCAAAGTCTGCCCCAGGTCATCACCACCACAGGAAGTCACCGCCGTTTTGGATCAGAGGGAGATTTGCCACCATGCAACTACTTTGATATCAGAACGGTGGTGGATCCTGATATTTTTTTACTCTTAGCTGGTCTTCCTGATGGAAAATCCGAACTCTTCAGCTTGGGAGTCCTTGCCGGGGAATGAATCCCTCCTCCGTACATCGCGGCCCGATACCCAGGAACACCTCTCAGCCACGATGAGGCGGTAAACCGTTAGGAGGATATACGTATGTATATGTATATATATATATATACATATGTATATATATATGTAAACGTAGAAAGCATATATTATATCCGTATATAGAAAACTTTCTGCATATTCTTCTTATTTATTTTATATGACCCGTTTTCACGTCTGCTGTGCGGATCTCAGCACTTCTCTTGTTCGATTCGTTTCCTTGCGTTCATTGTCCACGAGGATCTTCCAACTTTTACGTGTGGATTCGTTTGCTGCTTGAGCATTTTCATTTAATCTTGAATGCCGTAGAATGCTGGGCAAGCAATTCTCCCTGGATTCCTGAGATTACCGGGCTGGTGCGCTCCCGTTTGGATTGCAGTGTGGTTTTTTCCCGGACAAGTCCGGTACCAATTTCCCGACCCCTGGAGTGATAAGAGGCTTGGTTGGCCCGGATGCGCATATATGTATATGTTTTTTCTATATTATATGATACGCCATCACATCCGCTTTGCAGGATCCCGTACTTCTTGCATTCGATTCGTTTTCCTCGAATTCGTCATCCACAAAGTTCTTAGAATATTACGCGTGTTGTTGCAACTGCTTCATGAGAATTTTATCTCCTTTTTGAGTGCCATGGAGTGCTGATAGAGTCGATTTTGCATGCAATCGTGGACATAGCGGGGCTTGAGCGTTCCTCACGTGGATTGGGCAAGAGCGTAGTCGAGGGGTCGAGCCGTGCTACCTTGCTTGCTTATGGACTGCATTACTAACCTCTGCGCCATCCTGCCTTATTACTCCGAAGAATCTGTAGCATTGCAGCAATAAATCGGTAAGCTACTTCAAATCGTTTTGTGAGACCAAATGTGCATTCTATCACTTCTAACGATGCTTATCAAAGTGGAATGCATGGCGCAACCATCAAAGGTAGATAAATTTCGGGAGCTTTATCCTTTATCTTGTATTATATATAGTCTCTAAGTTGCGACCAATCAGCTTTTTGTCTGAATAGACAAAATTGGTTGCTTGATCCCAGAAATAACCCACGATTTGTTTTAGGTCGTGAGATTTATTTGTAAAGAATTCTGGTCGGCCGTGTTTGGCAAACAGGTGGATAATCTGAGGACTAATCACAGGGTACACTTTTCGTTTTGTCTCTTGTAAAATGTTGATGATTGTTAATCAGCAGTCACAGTAGTAATGTTGATTTTCTAGGGTGTCTATGTCGTGCAAGACAACAAGTTTTGTACACTGCGCTCACTGGCAGAGGGTCGACAGTTTGTTCGTGAATCCGGTGCGCTGGTCGCATTTCCGTGCGGTGCTGTGAGAGGTGCTTTGGCAAATCTCAACGTGCAAGCAGAGGTTACAGCCACGATAGAAAACCTACCGGCTGTGAAGTTCAATATTCATATCGCGCAAAAAGGCTAGAATCTTTGAAGCTATGAGTTAGTGTTCTGTAACCCTGTTGTATATGCTTTATTATACTGTGGATTTATTGTCGTTATTTACTCTACGGTTTTATTATTCTTAAAATCTTGGCGCCAAAACGCGTTTTATGGAATTTTTTTGTACATTGCTTCCTCATTATGATTGGTTCTGGGTGAGTAATTTTGTTTGGATTTTAGATACGGTTTGAAACTGTGATTTCTTCTATTGATTATTCATAAGAGATAAATAATCATTCTGACAGATTTTTCGTGGTCCACTTCCCGTAAAAGAAATAGCGATGCGATTTGCAACGCTATGGCGTGTAGAGTGTTAAAAGAGTTCGTCTGAGGATTCTGTAGTTGGTTACGCTATGTAGACCACCGTCGATCCATGCATCGAAATGACAGTTTCAAATGTGTGAAGCTATGTTGGCACTAAATTCTATGTGCACTTTGAGTTATCTATCATCCCTAAGTTACGAGTATAAAAGTGGTGTTACGCTGCAATTATGTTTGTTTATTTTTATTTGAAACCCTACTCCGCCTACTCTGGGAGAGACTGTCAAGCTATCAATAGGCATACCCAGACTCTACGTTCAGAGCCCAGCAAGCTGTGCATGGGCATCAGATGTTAAGCGTAATAAAGCAAATGGGCCTCATTTTACCGACCCCGAAAGAGCTTCCATTACGGCAGCGTTGGGTGCGATGAGTACGGAGAGGCTGCTAAAATCCTAAGGCCATTCTATGCTGCATAAATCTTGAAGGATTATCCATACTTACAATGCATGCTCAATTTCATCTGAGTCCTCGATAGAGGGTGTATGATGATGCGGTGAAGAAACGTAAGGCACGATGTCATCGGGTTTGGCTGAGAGATGGCGCTTCCAATTTAATAGTATATGACACCGGAGAAGAACTGGCCTTCAGAACATGCGAGGGTAGAGTAGTCGGCGGCGTCGGTGTTATCGTCATTACGAGTTGGCCGTGAACATCGATTTATTCGAACAACTAATAATTCGGATCGATCGTTTGCGGTTGTAGAGATGTGGACCAATACCATCTTTGACAGATACCATCTTTCACAACCTTCGTCGTCTACGCGCCGACGTCAAGCTATGGCAAAGACGAAGTGGAGTCGTTCTATATGCCCTTAACTTCTACAAAAAATGCCACACATTCTTTAAGGTCACCTTTGCAGAACTTAACGCTAAGATTGGACCTAAAAGAATGTCTGAAAAACCACATTGGAACTCACGAATTAGGACTTACCAAGTAGCGTGAACAGTTGTCTGAGTATATAATGACGACAAAAACCATTCGTGGTAACCCTAAATTCCAGAAGCCTCACTCTGAATGCTGGACGTGGGAGTATCCCAATGGAGACTACCATAGTGCCATCACCTTCATCACCTGTAGACCCGTTGGTCGTCGAGTGACTCGAGCGGGAGCCAGTAAATCTTCTATTTTTCCCTGCCGCGTGCATGAGTGTCCCAGTAAGTTTTGCCCGCTCTAGGAAGTCGTGGAGCATCACACTTTTCTTGCAGGAGTTTCGTGAAGAACTCTGACAATTGGATCGGAGCTCTTCCCGCAGTACGTTTGACATCCCAAGTAATTCAGCCACTAACGGCTCTTGCCCATCAGGTGTCACTCATACGCATTAGGTGTACAGCCCACCTTATCCTCGACCGTTTGACGTACAGAATGACATCTTTAGTTTTTGATCATCGACGCAGGTCCGAGCTTTGGATCCTTTCTCTTACTGGTGTGACACGGGATGCTCCTAGCATCGTCCTTTCGACTGCGTGTTTAATAACGCTGAGTGACCTTTCGTACTGCTTAAGCAGCGAACAAGTTTCTGACGCATACATTAAAGCAGGAAGTACCGCTAAGTCGAAAAGTTGAGCACGGAGTCGGGTGTTCTTTGTTCTCCTCACTAGATCCTCGATGCTCTTGAAAGCTCCACAAGCCGCTCATTTCCTTCTGCCGTAATGCGATACTCCACGTAATAGTCAGTCGAAAATTTTGCCTTACCGATGTGGCTGTTGTCATAAAATTCCACGCGAAATCAGATAACCGCTTCCTTCGCGCAAGATTTTATTACTCGCGAAAAGGAGACAAAAGCGCTAATTTCAAATAGTGAAGTTTAGAAACCAGCATAAATTGAAATTGATTCAGCTCATCAGTTGGCCGTCGGGAAGATTCCGTTGTCAATAACATCGACGAGGAGTATGATCGGTTCATTCAACACCTTCACGTTAGCGCTATGAAAGCTGACAGTTCGAACGTCACCAACAGCCATCTGTCCCCAAAAACACTCGACCTGATACGTTAACGTGGACTGCACTGAGAAGAGTTGGCCCCAGTAATCCAAGCGGTAACGCTCTAGCCCGGTTATTCTAGTACTACAGAGAGAATCGATTTTACTAGATTTAACGGCATTCATAAAGAAGACGAAGATTCTCAACCAGCAACGGTACTCACATGGAAAAAGTTAGAAGGCTTCCGTATACGATGGATGCTGCGTAACACTTAAATACAATAACTGCTGGTATCCGGGCAGTAGATGCAAAGGCAGGCTGTTTGAAGTAAAAAAATAAGGGGTAGGTAACAGAAGTGGTTTTTCGGCAGTAGTTGATCTAGTGTTCCATAGGTAGAGGACTTATGGGGTTAGAAACACCATAGAGTTATAGAAGAGACGTTGCTTTATCCATCCAGAGATGTAATTTTGATATTATATGCAGCATTTTACTATATTTCACCTACCAAGCGCATTATCGTTATCATACAGACGTGTTTTATGACTTGTATTGAGTTTATCTCAATAAATTAGTTTATTCTTCTTGTGCAGACACGAGATTGTTGATTATAGGATTTATTCAATACTGGCTCATACTCTATCTCGGTATTTCCTATATCTGACCATTCCATAGGATAGCCTCCATCTTGGAAAATGATAGACAATAACTTACTGGTGAATAAATGGACTTTATATCTTTTTCATAAAAGTGTAAACACAGGCCTTGAGTGGAAACCTGAGGCGGTTGTGGGACTGACTTTGATATGTCACTCTGTAGAAAAGTGATAACGTTTCTAAAATACAGTTTTCATTCTAGGCTCAAATAAAAGCCAGTAGTGAACAATCCAATTTTTATCGATGTAGAATAGAAAACACCTTTTTCAAAGATCTCTGGTTGAAAACAACATTACAAGCTGAGGAATACTTGTTGAAAGGTGCAACCGCCCTCCAGCAAACATGAGTGATCTCTGAATGGCCTCAGTCGCTCTTTTTGCCTCCTCTCGCTTTTAGCACTCACCTTCGCCTTGAGTCAATCGACTTTAGTCGTTTCAACGAATCTCCTTGTTTACTGCTCTGGATTAATTCCGCTGGTCAGGAGCTAATAAATACTATAGCTTTGAGCCATATCAGATGACGACGACGTTAACTTTAGTCTCTATCGCTATGGTATCGGGAGTAACGATGAAAAAGTTTAAGAGAAGGGGCATATCGTGAAGCCTGCTGTTTCCAGGCTAAAGGTAGAAAATGAAGAAAGTGAATAGGAGAAAGAAAGATGTTCATTAATGGTTTATTGTAGAGAGTGGTCACGCAATGTAAGGCCAGAATAATTACTTTCCATAAAAGGCAGACTGGTACGGGTAGAGAACAGAAGCGCACAGAACCAGTCTTACCTGTGGTCAAAATATGAAAGTTGGTCGCTAGGAAGACGAATAGACAAGCTGTAGCGAAGATTGTGTTGTTGTAAGTGAAAACTGTTGACGAGATGAGAAGGTTCATAGGTCTGTGCCTGATAGCCATCGCTCAGTTACACTTAAGGGGTTATTGGAGTTACAATCCCGTTCTTGTATGCCGCCAAGTATTAAGACATTAGATGGATAAGGATGCATGTTTTGAAACCTCAAAATTACGATGTTCATGAGCAACGGATCGATTTCATGTGCCCCACTCACGCTCAGCGAAAACGAATATCTCTGAGTGCTCCAGTTACGTCTACCTAGATCTGTAAATCAATATGATGAACGACTATGCTCAAGAGTTGAGCAGAAGGAAACGAGCGGCTTGGGGAGCTTTCAAGAGCATCGGGGATAGTGAATAGAACTAAGAACACCCGACACCGTGCCACCTTTCGAATTACATGATTCTGCGTGCTTTAACGTATGCGTCACAAACTTGCGTAAGCTAAATGAAAGATCACTCAGCGATATTGAACGAGGAGTGGAAAGGGCGATACTAAGAGCATCCGGTTTCACGCAACTGAAAAGTGAATTCCGAAGTTCCCGCCTACCTCAACGATCGAAAATGAAACAAGCCTTTTTTACGTCAAATTGTGAGAAATATGATGAACCCGGCACGTAATGTGTATGGGCGGCAAGCTATAGGCAAGAGCAGTTAGGGAATGCATTCCTCGGTATTTCAGAAGAACAGAAGGAAGACCATCGGTCCGGCAGTCAGTTTTTTTCTTTACCAAGACCATAGAAAAAGGATATGGGGCTCAACGAACCCCTTAAGCAAACGGAACGCACTAATCTACTCTTCCATGCGATAGGTAGAAATGGAATTTTTACTGGCGCACGCACAAATCACTCTTCGATCAGCAGGACGACATGTAATTCATTAATTGCTTGGCCAATATGGACAGTGAAGTGGGGAATGTAGCAGAGTCGCTCTCTACCTCTCTCGTCAGCTTCCTTTAATGCCATTGATGGGATTAGTACAGATTGCACTCGTTGACGAGTGGTTGCTGATAGCGCCACTAGAGTAGAAACATAGCTGTGAGAAACTCAAAGCGAGGACTTCGGTTGGTATGGTCGATAGGATATGAGCCCCTGGTAAAGGTAGTCGGGGACTCGAAGTCCAACGGGGGTTCCGAGTTCTGCTCGTATCTCAGCATCACAATAGTTGTATTTCACAACGTGCCATGCCATGAAATGAATAGGTGGAAAGTAAAAGTTAAAACATTCTGATTTAATCGACATCAGTTTCTC